TCAAACTCACTGCGGATCCAGACATTTGAATGAGAAAGCTTCCTGGAGAGGAAGAGAAACGTCTTCAAAGTCCAGAGGATTGTTTTTTAAACTTTTACGGAACTAGAATAAAATTCTAGGTGTTTCCAGTTCTCACATATTTCCTTCAGCAGACATTTAACTAAAATTAGTCGTCTTTTAATCAAAAGGTGATGTGATATCTGCGGCTTTAATTGACTTTTTTCTGTTGCATTCAGGGGAAAATGGCTTTTTGGATTCCTGATCCAGAGGGAATCCAGACCTCCTGCCTGATACGAGGTAAACTGGTGACGTTTGGTCAACCAGAGACCTGGAAGCATCAGAGTAACAACCGGAGCAGAAAATTCAACTTTCAAATAAATTTTTAAAGCTTTAATTCCAGCCTCTGTGGTAAACTAGTAAACTTTGGAGACTTCTCAACATTTTAAAGTCATTTTGTTCAATATTTAGGCTAAAGCACAGAGACACAGAAATCCTCCCTTTAAAAACTGCAGCTAAAGTCTTTGCTCTTAATGTTAGAACATTTATTTACCCTTAAAAATAACCAGGAGTCCATGAATGGCTTCAAACATCACCTTCTTGCTAATATCCAAACAAAGTTCATGTTTAAGTTTGCACCAGAATAGCTGATAAGTTCTGATGAGTACATAGGTGATGACGCAACCCGAGCAGAACCTTGAACTCCACCTTATCCAGCCTGCTAAAGCAGCCATTGGATGCAGCTGATTAAAGAGCTAACCACAGCGATGGCGCTGACAGAGATAACAATCGGCTCTCTGACCCTTGCTCATCAGAGCTGGAACGTTGACCTGTATGACCCGTCTATATGAAAACAATAGAGAAGATTCAGGATCAAAGGTTACTAGGAGACAGAGCAAACTGTACATTCAAACTTTGTTTTTTTTCCAAACAGTAAACTTCTGTTATGAAGTTTGATTTATAAAGTAGTGTTGAATTAAGCTGCAGTATTTGCTTTAAGTTTGAATGTTTGATGTTTATTTCATTGCAGACATTCAGTCTGCAGCCATAAATAAAGGGAAGTGATAGATGCAGATTTATACTAAGATCCATTAATGCATTAAACCAGATCAATGCTTAAATCATTTAGAGACCAACTTATGGACTAAATTCCTTTATCACAGCGTTGCATCAGAGATTAAAAGACAAAATCAGGCTTTTCAATCTGCAAACAAATCCTTTTAAATTTACTTCCAGTGCAAATGAAATGCAAAGGGATATTTCTTTGATTGAAATGAAGCCCTCAGAAGGAAATACCTTTTGGATCTGAGCTCCTTTGCTGCTCCTCTCCTCCTGAGTGGCGACAGAGTGAAGGTCTGGGTGAATGAATGACAGTCAGCTTTGCTTAAAGATACAAGGAAGTGAGTGTCTGCCTTATTGGAGTCAGCACTAAAGAGGAAATCATGTGACTCAGAGAGACAGCGAGGAAAATGAGGAGCATCGGGGTTTCTGTAGCGCTCCATCTGTCTCACATGAGGCTGAGCCTGGAAACAGGATCCTATAGGAGCATGGGAGGAGCTGCACGGCTCCTGGCATTACTGAAGAAATTACTGATACACTCAATATGGAGGATTAGTGATATTTTCATAATTAACATAATTATTGCTATAAAAGTTATCCTCCCTCATTTAGTTGTTTATAAATATCTAAATATTTCAGATTCATTCTAAAACACAACTTAACCTGAGTTAACGCAACAGGCACAATGATTACATTTGATCACTGCTGCACTTTATGGACCTCACTGCTCACCGTAGACAGCTGGACGGACTAATGGATGGATGGA